GGCCCAGATTGAGCGTGTGCTAGGCTTGCTTGCGGAGGACCCAGGTTTGCTTCCCAGCATCCACCCGGCCGCGGCTCACAGCCTTCCCCAGCTCCGTTTCGGGGAGCTCTGGCGCCCTCTTCAGGCACCTGCACGAGTTGGGGCATAGACATACGTCTAGGCAAGGACGCACACACATAAATAAAAAGACATATTTGTAAAACTATGCTGAACCAGGTATGGTGGGCCACACCTTTAGCCCTGGCACTGAGGAGGCAGAGGCAGGCAGATCTTTGAGTTCGAGGCCACCCTGGACCACAGAGTGAGTTCCAGGACAGCCAGGATGACATAGACAAACACTGTCTCAAAAAAAAGTAAAACAAAACAAGGACAGACCAATAGAAACTATGTTAAGATTCTAGATGGCTGCAGTTGGAATGGCTCTCCGCAAGACAGCAAACGACAACACATTTCATTTGCTGTTGGCACAACTATAACCTGGGGCGGTGTGCAGTGGAAAGAGTGCAGGAAACTAGAGAAGGCCGGTGAGACGGTGAGGACGTGAAAACAAAAGGGGAAAGCTGGGGTGAAAGGACAAGAGCAGCGGGAGGAGGCGGGAGCTGTGGGGAGCAGGCACGAGGCCTTCTGAAGTGCTTTTATAAATTTCAGAAACGCCTCATGACAGTCTCCAGCGTATGAGGAAATGACACAGTAAGTCCTACCACGTGGGCTTTTGTTAACATTTGCCACAAACGTTTCACCTAATTTTGAGATATGCAAAAGCAAATTCCAGGCCAGGCCAGGAAGATGTTGAGTCAATGCGCAGCCCAGGCCGTCTCCTTGTCCCTCAGGAGAGAGAATCGAAAGGCAAGTGACACCTTGATAAAAATTTTTATTTTTTATTTTTTAATTTTTATTTTATTTTATTTTATTTTATTTTTTTTACCCTAAAATGTTAAAAACCAAGAACTGCTCAGGGCTGGAATGAGCAGACAGCAGCCACTGCAGGGAAGGTTTGGGCTCCCCGCGGGCCCCTCCCACCACCCCTGCGGAAGCCTGGGTCCCCGAGCTCCGGCTGCCCTGCCCGGAAGCACCTGGACTGGTCTCACCTGCGTCCTGTCCCCACCCCCACCCGCGCCTGCTTTTCTTCTGAAGAATCCCAGCCCCTGGCTTGTGTGGTTTGCTTAGTCCAGTTGGCATCTTGTCCCTCTTCAGAGGTGAGGCCATGGATTAGCCCCAGCGGAGGCCCAGGGAAGACAGGGGACAAGGTCTTCACAGCGAGTCAGCTCCGAGACGGTTTATTCAGATACGGGAGGTGGAGGGCGAGCGTAAGCCTGAGGCCGCGGGCGGCCCGACGAGCCCTGCTCTCCTCACTCGGGGAAAGGCTGCCTGGAGCCTAGCTGCTCTAACAAGTGTCGGCCGTGAGCAGCTGGCTCCGCGCTTCTCAAGACGCAGGAAGGCGGAGGAGGAGGAGGAGGAGAAGAAAGAATAAATCATTTCAACCCAGCGTGACCCCTGTGACAGGCCCCTGGCAGCTAACGAGCTGCTTTGTTTTCTGACCTGTACGGTTAGGGTGTACCAGGCTACACCGCCTTCCCTCTGCTTGCTGGAGCGCCCGCCTCCGCCTGGAAGGTCTGATACCCCGAGGCCACCGCGAGTGAAGGACATCATACTGGCTCCCAGTCACATCCTCCTAGTTATCCATCCAGGGCCTCAGACTGGCGAATGCCAGTGTCCTCAGCGCCTCCAGGCCAACACCTCCATCAGCCTAAGGCCACCAGGAGATGCCAAGCTACAATAATGGGGGGGGGGGGGTTGGCCCAAATCCATGAAATCGTAAGATAATAAAGTGTTTCTTTTTTTATTATTAAATTGGGGGAACATTTGCTATGCCACAAAGGAGAAGACAGGCCTTCCTAAGTGCACCAGATTGCGCGGTGATCGGTACGGTTTTTAGAGGGGCTGGAGGCTTGAAGGAGGAGAAGTCGTTTGGCACAGGGTCAGCGACAAGCGCTGGAGAGGGGCCTGCCCGGGTGAGGAGCCCCGAAGCTTCATTGTCACTAGTGTCACAATAAACCTACCCGAGAACCTGAGCTTTGGAGGAGCCGAGGAAAGCCCTCGGAACAGGGGCAGTTGGAAGGACTTCCAGAGGGAGGGAGAAGAGCAGCTGAAACGACGGGGTCAGAGGGCAGGCTCAAGGCAGAGGTTGGGGGACTCACTGCCCGTCTGAGGAGCCCTGAAATTCGACCTTCACAGAGAGTCCAGAGAGGGCTGCCCGGGTCGGTCCCGGAAGGCCGGGCCTTCACAGGGGGCGAAACCTCAAGAGAAGGGTTGTGAGAGGCCACTTCTCTCAGCATCCACGGAATGAGAGGTGGTACCCTGGCCTTCACACCCACTCCAGGCCCGGGGGCCTTCAGCCAAGGCTTTCCCTAGGGAGCCCGGGCCTCTTCACCCCTGCGCGCCCCTGCCGCAGCCCACCTGTTGCCTCCTCCCTCTGCCCTCCAGCCCAGACCTTCGGCAAGCCTTCCAAACCCTGTGCAGGGCGGCAAGCGCGCCCCTCACCATCCCGCCCTGCCTCTGCCGGAGGGACTCATACCACGACCGACCGCCCTTCCCACGCGCGACCCGTCCGGGTCACCCGCTCAAGCCGGGCCGGCGGGGGATCCGCCTCTGCGCGGCCAGCTTCCTCCCCCCACTCAGCATTGTCCCTCCTCAGCACCCTCCGTTCTCACGCCACCTCCCCAGAAAGGTCCCCGCTTTCCCCAAACATCGACGATCGCGCAGGTGACCCCCCCCCCCGCGCTGCCCACCCTCAGGCTCCTCCTCAGACTCCTCGGGCAGAGAGTCGCTGCCCTGGTGACCTCTGACCTCCTCCGAGGCCTGCGGCCCCTCTGCCCCACCAGCTTCCTAACCGGGTTTCACGCTGCCCCGTGCGGCCACGCAGCTTCACCTCCCTTCGGCCCCTTCCCGGGAGCTTCCTCTGTGGCCCCGCGAACCTGGGCCCGGCGGCTCCCGCAGCTCGGGGCCCTCGGGGTTCAGAAGCCCAGGCGCCCAGCCCTTCTGGGGACCCTGCTTTCCTTCCCAGAGGGACAATGCCCGGTCCGGAGGCCCTGAGGACCGTGATAGTCAGCGCCTAGTGAGCAAGCGCCAAGCTAAGAGCTCTTTACACATTATTGACTCCTCGCGGCGCCCAGAGAAACAGACGACGCCCGATTCGCACCATTTAATAGAGGTGGCAGCCAGGTTAAGCGCCTGGCCCTCTCGCCTCCCCGGGCACCTCTCCGAGGCCTCGCGGCCCGTGTGCCCAGCCTCTCCTGGTGGTTCCACTGGCGACCACAGCGCCATCCCCTCACCAGCCGATGGCCTCAGACATGCACTCGCAAACCAGGGCCCGTAACCGGATCCAGCATACAGCTGGCGCATACTTTGTGTGGGTGCTGGCTAACCAGCCAGCGGTGGCAGGAGCCTGCGTCTTCCTCGCGCCCAGGCCAGGGCCTGCTCCAGCTGGCTCCCCGGGAACTGGGGAATAAACGTGGACAGCAGGAAGCAGGGAGGGAGGCCGGTGCCGCCTTGCCCTGTCCGGCATTGGCACCGCTGCCACCTCGGAAGGCCGGGGGTCGAGGGACCGGGTCCTCTCTCCCCTGGTCCCTCGAGCAGACCCTGGAAAGGGTAGAGGGTGGACACGGGCTTGCCGCTGCCACCCTTCCCGCCACCACCAGACACCGGGTGGGAGCGACATGGGCTCTGACCTGGGCTCCGCCGGGCCTGTCGCCGCGGGCGCGGGGTCTCTCCGACCGGCCAGGGGGTGGAGTTGTGGACCAGGGGCCCGGGCAGGGCCTCGCCAGGCTCTGCCTGACCCGCCGGAGCCACCGCCCGCCCGGGCTCCCTCTGCCCACGGCCCGCTCCTCCGCTTAGGGCACCGGCTCTCCGGGTGTCCCAGACGAGCCCCCCGGGCACGCGGGACGGGTGCGCCTCCTCCGCGAGCCAGCAAATCCATCTCGGGGCGAGGGTCTGGGACCCGCTGGGGTCCCGGAGGGGAGGTCCCGAAACGTGTCTCCAACAGGGCAACGAGGCGAGCTTCGCTGGGGGACTAACGCAATCACGTCGGAAGTCGCGGGGTCCAGACAGCCCTGGGAAGGGACCGGGGCGCCGCGCTCCAACCCGCCCCGCACAGCCGCGCGCAATCCGGGGCCTGCGGGGCCTGGCTTCCCCTTTGGGGTCCTGAGGCTGGGGCAGAAGCCTGGGAGGCGCCGAGCGAGGCCTGGAGGAGTTGGGGTGGCCGAGGGCTTGGGGGGCGGCCCGCACTCCCCCCTAACTCTCCCCTTCGTTTACCCCCTGCACCTTCGTCCCTTCTCCGGACTCATCCCTGTCTCGCCCGCGTCCCTCCTCTCCCTCCCGCCCCCTCCTCGCAGCTCCTCGTCACCCTCTCACTCTATAACCAAACAGCCGAACCCCCTTTCCAATTAAAGTGGAATTAGGCAACTCAATCAAATTAGCTCCCCATTAAAGCCCTTCTTTATTAAAGCGTTCTCTTGTCCCGCTATTAGGTTTCAGCGCCCGGCGGCGCTCGGGCCGGCCCCCGAGTTTACCTCGGCACGCCTGGCCGCCCGAGGGGAGGGGGCGCCCTGGGGGGGGGAGGGATTACCCCGCGGGGAGAGGGCTGGAGACCGGGTCGGGCGCAGGGGCGTCCTCCCCGCCGCAGGCCCCAGCGGAGGAGCGCGGCCGCCCGCCCGCCCGCCCGCCCGGAGCCCGGAGCCCGGAGCCCAGAGCCCAGGGGCCGGCGCGCCCGCCCGGGTGCGGCCCGCTGGCCCGGCGAGCCGCTGGGGGCCCGGGGTCAGGGCGCAGCCGCGCCCCGGGGACACTCGGAGCTTCTCTCCCCAGCCGCCCCGCGAGCGGAACGGGATTCCAGCGCGGCTTTATTTAGAAAATAACGTTTATTTCTAGCTCACACCTAGGCAAAGGAAAGCACAAGGGCAGCGCGGGCGGCGGCTCCGGAGCCTCGGCGCCCGGGGGACGGCCGGGCCGGGCCGGGCCGGGCCGGGGCGGCGGCTCCTCCCCAGCCAACAGCAGGTCCCAGCTATAAAACCCGATACGTACAATGCGCGGATAGTCTAATTTTTTTCCATTTTGTCCTTTTTTCTTTTTTTGCTTGGTTTTTGAATGTTTTCCACGTTAATACCGAGGTCACCTACAAATTACAATTAATAACTTAGAATTCCATTTTATAACATTATACACCGGCTTGTATATATATATATGTATAGATTATATATAGATTTATACATATATAAAAAACTCACACTGCACCAAGGAAACCCATGCTTATTGGCATAAGCAACAAAGAGAGCGACAAATACCGCAACGAGGAAAGTGCACCTTAGAACGTTTTTTTCTTTCTTTCTTTTTTTTTTTTTTTTACAATTGATATCGATATATACGTGTGTGTCCCAAAGACTCGACTCAGTGCCAAGAGATGGATACATCCTAAATTTATATTTGTTAGAGCGGATTTTTTTTTTTTTTTTTAATGAAGGGGGAACGGGTACTGGGGACACAGAGGCCGATGAGCCTGCCGTTCGCCCGGGCGCGGGGCTGGCGAGGCGAGCGGAGCGCAGGGAGCAGCGGGGAGGGCGCGGCCGCCCTCGGGTTCTTGGGGACCCCCGGCCTCTGAGAGCGGGGCGAGCGGGCCTGGGGGCGGTGGCCCGGGGGCTCCCGCCCTCCGGCCGAGCCCCGAGGCCCTACTGCTTGTCCGGGGTGCCGTTCACCAGGGGCCCGTAGAGCGCGCCCCCGTAGCCGGGCTCCTTGTGCACGGCGGCGGCGGCGGCGGCCGAGCGGTCGCGCATGAGGTCGCTGAAGGCGTAGTCCACCGGCGGCCGGAAGCCGAGCGTGGGCACCAGGCCGGCCGTGGAGTAGGGCGCCATGAAGGCCAGGCCCCGGCTGTGCGCCGCGGCCGCCGAGTAGGCCAGGCGCAGCGGGCTCAGGCCGAGCGGCGCGCCCAGCGGGTAGGCGCCCGCGTCGGCGCCGAAGTGGCCGGCGCTGGGCTGCAGCGGCGAGAAGGCCGAGCGGCTGCCCAGCGAGCCCAGCGCGCCCGGCGCCACGGCCCCGGCCAGCAAGGGTCTGTGGTGCGGCGGCGCGGAGGGCCCGG